GCGAACTTTCCCGGGCCAGGCAAGTCCTTACAGCGATTTAGTTCGCGCGTGGCAATGCCGCCACGTGAGCAGCGCTTACCGACCCAGTGCGCCACCAACGGAGCTGCTCCAGTACGAGCCCATGCAGCCCGTACAGCTCTCAACGCGCTGCGCGAGGCCCGGCGCGGCAGTGCGGCTGGCCTGTCAGGCATGCGGGCGGAACACTTCAAGCTGTTGTTGCACGACTTGGAGGCCCTGGAGTTGCTAGCAGCGGCGGCAACACATCTGGCTCAGGCGCACAGCTGGCCCTCGCCGCGATGGCGCGGCCAACTGCGCTGCGCAAGCGGGATTGCGGAGCGCGGGGGATTGCAACAGGCAACGTTTTCCGCCGCCTCGTTTCCCGGAAGCTCACGAAGAGCTGGGCTGACACATTCGATCATGCAACCCGTACCTTCCAGTATGCGCTGCAGGCCCGCGCGGGCACAGACGCACTGGCCTCCCAGGCTCGCTCTGCGTCATCCCTGCGACCCGGTGCCGTGCTGACCCTGGACGGCCGTAGTGCATATGATTCCATGTCCCGCGTTGCCTTCCTCAGCAAGCTTCGCGAGGTTGCGCCTGAATTGTTCGCGTTCGAAGCCTCTGTGGATCAGGCGTAAACAAAGTCCGAGGAAAAAATCGCTACGTCGCCGCCTGCGCCAACCCCTGCCACTTTGCCGGAACACGTGCGGCCCTACGCATGGGTGTGGTCAACCGATATGGCGATCACGCACTCGCGTGCCCCCGCACAGGTCTGCTCGCCAGGCGGGCAAAGATCGTGCAACATGCGTGGGTGCGTGTCGCGCGCGAGGCGCTGGGAGCGGATGGCCAGGTTATCCCCCAGCAGTGGCTTGCTCACACTACAGCCCCGAACGTTGGAGCTGAAAACCGTCGGAGGCTTGACCTCGTCGTGTACGGAGCCACACCGCACGGCGGCGCGTTGTGCTGCGACGCCACGCTTGTATCCTCGCTTACGTGGGTTGGGCACCCGCAGCCATGCACCGTTACCATCGACGGAGCCGCGCTGCGAGTGGCCGAGCGACGCAAGCACGCCGCATACCCGGAGCTTGCGCGTGCGGGGCCGCAAAAGCTCGTCGTCCTCGGCTCGGAGGTAGGCGGTCGGTGGAATGAGGGGGCACGCAGCTTCTTCCGCCAGCTGGTGCGAGTGAGGGCCCAGCGAGCCCTGCCAGCCATCCGCGCAGCGGCCGCGGCGGGCTGGACACGGCGATGGTGGAGCATGCTCGCCAGCACAGCATTGGGCGGCCCCTATAGCAGCAGCCCCTGCGGCCGGGCGCCTGCGAGGGCCCGCCGCTGGATGTAGTGCTGCAGTGGACCGGCCCTGTTGGCCCCAGCCGCTTGCCTTTGCGGCCCTGAGCTGGCAGCCGGTAGCTGGCGTACTAGAAGCCTTTGTGGATCAGGCGTAAAAAAGTCCGTGAAAAAAATCGAATATGTTGGATTTTTAGAAAAAGATAATTCCGTGGATCAACCTCAGAGTGGCGCAGCTTCTCGCAAGATTTCACATGTTTTTTTCGCGCGTTTTTTGCATCTGCATCTTGAGGCTGGGCCAAAGGGTACTGTACGGAATAATCCCCATTGACTTGCGAGGACCAGGAGCCCGACGGAACAAACTTGCACAGCGTGGGCCCAAGCAGATTGCGCGGCAGCCCGGAGTCCGGAAGTGCGCAGGCGCAGCTGCAGCCCAGTAGCGCGCGAAAAGGTGCCAGCCTCGGTCCCGCAACGGCCGCCGACCTTGAAGGCGGCACCGGCGCGCCCGCGTCAGGTCCGAATGTCGCGTCGCTTGTGCTGGGCCTTGTTGTCAGCTGCCCATCCCGGCTGGATATCGGCCCGCGGGTGAGGCTCCCCAGTCCGCGGGGAGATGATTGTGGCATCGGGGGCGAGGTCGGATCTGTGCCACAAGGAGGCCATTCGCAACATTCTCGATGTCCGACTCATGATACCACCTGCAACTGCTGAGGGCTGTGTGAAACTGGCGGGTGTAGAGGAGCAGCTGCTGCAATTCTGGTGTCTCCAGCAGCCCATTCAGCAGGCTGACCTGCGACATGGTCGTTGAAAGCGCTGAACGGAAAGCACAGTGGCTTTGGCATCTGCCTGCCTGGCCGCGCGGGGCGGGCAGATGACGGTTTCAGTGCCAGCGCGTGCACTCGAGGCAACATGCCTCCACTATTACTGGGCTAAGGAACGCCAAACGAGGTGGCACAACACATCGTTGACTACACCTAAGCCGCGTGGCCAGGGCGTGTTTTGTAGGCATTGATTCCCTTCCTGAAGCTGACTACCCTTTCTTTGTTGTGTTAGTTCGGCGCGGAGGGTTCAGGGTTGGGAATTTTGCAAGCCTAGGGGCATCTCCATATCGTACATGCAGCGCGCTAAGCATGCTATTGATGGCGATGTAGTGTGCCCTGTCGAATGCGCTTGGTGGGGGGGCCCGAGGTTCGTGATTGGTTGTCAGCATGTCGTGGGCGCGACTGCGTCCTCCGCCTTGCCACCACCATCTGGGCCGGACCGCCTACAGCGATAGGCCCGAATTGCATGCACGGAGCTGGGCGACGGTAGGTAAGGCTTCGGCCACCAGCTCAGGCCAAAAAATGCCAGCGCAAAGATTGTTGTTCAAGAAACTTGGACACGCTTGCACTATGCCACTACCTGCTGAAGGCGTTCCGGCATCCATAACAAACAGGAATTGTTGGGACGACGGATTGGATGGCACGTCCTTCAACATTGCTCCCAAAACTGCGCATTGGAACACAGGCCGACTCCCATGCTTGCAGTGTCTCAAATTTTGCGACCCAGGAAGTTTCTTGTCGCTACTCGCTCTGCTCGGCCCTGACACCCACAACACGGGTTTGGTATATAGTTGCTTCAAGTTGGTTCATTGAGGGCAGCGATTACGGGAGCTTTTCAAGAGCACTCGTTTTGAGCCCAATTTTGCTGTTTCTGCAGGCCAGACATAGCAATATCGCACAAAAATAATGTTTTGGGGGTTGTCAGCGCAGTGAGGTGGATTGAGCAACAGGCATCAAGATATTGAGCCGGGAGGCTAAATGCTCGGAAAGATCAAAGTCGGTCGAATGGATTGGACTGTTTTGATCGCGGAAATAGGCAGGAAGCATCAAAATTCGAAAGCTTGCAAGCCACGACCTACCACATTTCATTCATATTTATCCATGAACTGTCACAAATCGACAAGGGCCCAACAACCAAAAAGCAAGCAACCACGTTCCATCTTGCACGTGACATGTTGGTTTTTGTTGTGACCCGCGACGTGTCCAGAGATTAACGAGTGCTCGCCGGATTCACTTCTTCCGTGGAATCCAAGCGCGAACAAACTGCAGACTTCTCACAGAATTGAGTGCTTGCCCATGTTTGCGCTTCCCGCTACACATATTTTCAACTTGGGCGAAATTGTGGTTTCGCTTATCATTTTGACGGCAGGTCCTAAGCAGCTTCATGTGGACACAGGTTCCGATGTTTGCGGTTTTCTTCCTTTTTTCGTTGTTGGCACAGGCGTTGTCGATGGCTTTGCCTTGTGACCTATCGGCCAGCTCTGCCGAAGCTGGGCCAGACTCCTGCAACGTAGTACGAACACAAGCATGGAGAGACGCCGGATGCTCTTCCACGTGCACGAAAAGTGGCCGCATCGTTTGTTCGTGGTGGCATTTCAGGTCTATTTATGCCTGCAGCTGAGGGGATTACGGAGCTCTGCTATGGACGCTGTTCATGACACTGCGCACACCGGTTGCATGCCGCCACCGTCAACGCGCTGACGGCAAGAGCTCTGGCACTGCAACTGGCGCCCAGCATAGCTGAGCAATTCGCCCATTTTGGGAGACAACTGTTTGCATCCGGGTCGCCAACACCAGCACAGAATGGTTTTAGCGTGTTGCAACGATTCAAATTCAATGAACGCGCACTTGTCAATGCAGTCTGACAGGACAAAATGTGTTCATCTCATGCCGCAGCTTGTTTTCTTTACGTCGTTTTGTGGACAAGACGTGGATACAGCATCGCCGACGTGGGCTGGGGCCTCAGCAGGTTTTGCAAGATTGTGTTCCCCATCCCCAAATCATGATCCCCCATTACTTTCTTTGGCTTGGTACTACATAGGATTACTCTGTACGGTGGTCAAGTGGTTCAAACCTTGAAGTGCAATTTGATAGGTGGTCAGAACCGCAATCAGAGGGTTCAGGGCCTATCGGGGTTATATATGGATAATGGTTCCATTATAGCCTTGTACAAAATATAGTGGTATAAGTGGTAAACGTATTGCCTCATTGCATTGAGACAACGCATGAATCACATGGATGTTTCTTCCCGGGAGCTGTCTTCATGCGCCACTTTGCGCCACATACATTACACATTGCTTATTCATTGCTTACTCATTGCTGGTGGCTAGTAAGCCCTGGATAACCCCTAAATACTACATCCCCTTGCTTACAACTTACATCCCCTTATTCCCCACTAACCCCCAGTAAAATACACTTATGTTTGACATTCGGGTCTGCCAGCGGGGCGAACGGCAACAGTCGTAAGCAGAAAGCCAGGCCATCACGAAAGTGTGGCCCATAAATAGTAATATAGTAATCCAGTAACGTGGTCATATAATATAGCAATGTAGCAACATAGTAATATAGCAATAGAGCAATGTAGAAATATAGCAATATAGAGGAGATGAAGCCCCGTTCAGCAACAATGCGACACGTTACGTTGGCAGGCTGGAACCTTGCGTTTTGCTTCTTCAAAGATGTGGATATTCAAGGTCATGTTAGAATTGTTGCCATTTTGCACTGGCCAAGCTGTCAACCACGTATATGTGTATATTCCGAAGATATCTTCGGTGCGCATCCTGCGCGAATGTCACAGGCAAGAGGGATGCACGAACTCAAGGGCTCTACTTTGCAGCACCGAGGTGGCCGGAAGTTTTATTTTCGAACATTGAACTTATGGCTCAGGTGTTGCGATTTCTGATGCCGCGCGGACATGGACGACGTCGTAGGAAGGAAGTCGAGGAAGACTCAGTTGAGGCCTTGGATGGGGCCAGCTGCGTCACATTTTCCAGGTCTCTACAAACACGGCAGGGAGCATTTGTTCGCAAATGAATGGTACACTCCACGATGCCTGATTTGCAGAACCGTCATCATGTCAGCCTTTAATTTTAAGCACGTCTTATGAGTCTGCAAGCAGGCGGTGGAGAGAGCCCAGAGAACCGTGATCTTCGCCAAGACGAAGCATCTTAGATGTTGAAAGCAGCTTACGGGTAGCATGTGAAGCTACCGGCCACTGTCCTTCAAAGCCGCGCACCAAGGATGTGCAAATTTCACATCCTGGGAGCCTGCACCAAAGGCGTTCCTTCCCCAGCCAGCTCGGGCAACAGAATTTCATTTTTGTACTGGCTGCTCAGACATGAATAGCGAAGAGAGCGGAGCACATGCAAGGACGGCTGCAAGTTTGCCCACCAAAAGAATGAACTGCAAGACCTTCCGGATCTAGCCTGCACAAAACTTTGCAACTCGGTTGGCTAGATTTTGCTGACATGTGGAGAAGGTCTATCAACCTTGATTTGCATGTGCTTTTTGGTGAGGTAAGATGCTGATCAGCACAGGACACCTGCCCTCATTGCATCACTGCGGTTGCCACGCAACCCTGTTGCGGAAACCACGCAAGATCCTTTGCAGGTTCGTGTGACGATCCGACCTGTCGATATGCACACAATCGTGCAGAGCTAAAGGAGATTCCTGGCCTGGCCCATGCCTCAGGCTTTTGCTTTGCGCGGCGATCATGTGCATTTCACAATGGTGGCATCGCGCTGCATCGTGCTTCATCTGAGCCTTCCCCTCTTATGGACCAGCTGCGGGAGACGGAGGCAGCAATCGAGACACATAGCATGCCTGGAAGGGCTCAGATGCGTTGTGTCATGTCATTGTGTTCAGTCCGTTGGCCTGCAAATGATGACCCGACAATAGGCTTCTCAGCTGGCAGATGCTGCTAAAGCTGCTGCCAAAGCTGCTGCAGAGAGCCAGGGACTCAGACCTGGGGAATGTTCCCTGGGCAACCTGAAAGTGCTGCATATTTCCCATGGTCAGGCAACAACCCACAGCGGCAAAAGAGCAACGAAGAAATCCAGCGCAAACTCCGACAACAGCTGTCCTTGCTTGAGTTTCTTGGACGCATCTGGTACTTTCCCAAAATAGGGGAACCCGAACAGGGATCCCCCAATAGTATAGTCCTTAGTCTGGGGACCCCAAAATGGTACCCCTAATTTTGGGAAACCCCCATCTTGTTCTGTGAGTGCTTCATGCAGGAAGGGCCACATCATGCCAAGGCAGACGACGAGCTCCAGCCAGCCAGCTCAACCGAGCCGGGTTCAGGATTAAGGGTCTAGGGATTAGGGTGTGGGGTGAAGGGTTAAGGGTCTAATATAATATAATAGTTTCCATTTCATTTTCCATTGTGTGGGGCCTACATCCGCAGAAGCTTTGCTATGATTCCAGGCATGCCGTTTTGCTGTTCACAGCCCCTCATTTTCTTTCGCACTATCCCAATATAACTCCTACAATCCCTGTGGCTTCCATTTTCTTTTCCATTATACTAATATCAATGCCTTCTGTAGGAGCCTGCAAGCAGCACAGTGCCGACCGGCCTGACGCTGCAAGCCGTGCCAGCCACGCTAGCGCCTTCGCCCCGTTCACGCATCGTTAAATGCAGAATTCTTGGAACCCTAGAAGCCCAGTTAGCTACATATTGGGTTTCTGTCCTTGGGTCCCTATATAAACTTATACTATCTATAACCCAAGAACCTACTATATGGGTACCTGGGCTTGTAGGGGAAGGTATGGAAGTCTGCTTCTCGCATCTTAAGGCCTGGTGGGGAGGTCACCCAGCTGTTCCCTGTGCAGTTGGCCCGAGCCTCTTAGAGCCGATGACGTCAGAGCCATGCCAGCAGCTAAGCACACGCTCCTGACTCCGAGGGCGGAGCCTTCCTGGGCCCGGCAGCTCTGGATGTCCTGAGCTTAAGAGCTCCATGATTTATAAACCCCTTCCCCATAATAGAAATAACAATAGGGATCCTAATATTTAGGTCCTTAAAAAGAGGGGGTTTATTAATCACGCTTCGAGGACTGGCGCACCATGATTCTGAACCTTGGATCTGTCAGGGTGGGCTTCTCGTCAATTTGCCCATGCCTGAGCACGCTTGCTGCAGAAAAACAGAATGAGCCATATGGCCCATAGAGATAGGTGAAGGCCCAACCAAAGGCGATGTCATTTTTCGCCTCCACTTGTTTGCCAAAGCACTGCCGGGATGTTGTGATAAGTTGAGGCTTCACCCTCGCTTCAGGTCGAACGTGGTGGCTGCACAGGTACAGGCAGCACCCACCGTGCCCTGGGTCTGCCACCAAGCCTTTCAGATAGATGCTTTGTCTTCCCAGATCACCACAGGGCATGTGGTGCACCACAGAAGAAGAAAAGAGCTGAGCAAGAGCAGCTCTTGCAAGATCGTCTTCCAGCTACTGTCGTATGTTAAAGTATATCATAGTAACATAGTATATTATAGCCATTATAGTATTACACTATAATATAGTATAGTATACTAGAGTATAGTATACTATAGTATACTATAGTATAGTAAACTATAGTATAGTAAACTATAGTATAGTAAACTATAGTATAGTACCGGAGGCCACACCTCTGATCGCAGCACCTACACAGCCGGCGCTGATTCCCGGGACCGGGCCTGCCCCGACACCGGCTCCTGCACCAGCTCCGAAGCGGTTGAGAACCTACATTGTTAGGGTTTCCCAAAATGAGGGGTACCTAATATAATGGAAAATCGAATGGAAAAGAAAATGGAAAATGAAATGGAAACTGAGTTTCTATAGGGGATTATAAGGATTAAGGTTTCCCAAAATTAGGGGTACCCTTTTGGGGGGTCCCTATAATAAGGACTATAGTATTTTGGGGTCTATATTGGGGTCCCCTTATTTGGGGAAACTACCACATTATTAGGGGTTTAGGGTTTAGCGTTTGTTTGAATTTGCTAAAGGAACGCGTTGCTGTTGCCTGTGCTGGGCTCAGGTCAGAAGCGCCTCCAGCTGCTGCGGGCTCAGCATGTTGTGTTGTTTTTCGGGTGAGCTGTTGGGTGCGATCAGTGCTGCTACAGTACTTATATTCTCTGTCAGGCTAAGAACAAGGCTTTGCCCGCAAAAGCAGGCGCTGCAAAGGCATGTGCCACCAAGCAGGACACCTTGAACTTGTCCCCCGCCTCCCCAACTGCAAGCACTTGATTTGGCATTCATGTTTCATGGCATAAGGATACTACGAGGCGCTTCGGGTGCCTAAGCATTGAGCAAGCGACCTTGCAACAGGAGAAGCGCCCTGGACACAAGCCGGCGGCACCAGGCACGTTGCTTCTCAGATGTTCCTCGAAATTCCTCAGCGCCTGTATACGGTAAATTTCCACAGCTTGGGGAACACCTAAACCCTAAACCCTAAACCCTATTTAGGGCACGTCCCAGGTGTCGTGTTCTTTGAGCCAGGACCAGCCCCCGATCATCACGCACCTGGCAAGGCAACTGGCTCAGAAAAACCTCCAAGGCAGCATCACAAAACGTATAGGGATATTGGAAAAAGAAAATGGAAACTACCATTCAGGGTTTAGGATTTAGGGTTTAGATTTTAGTCCTCCTTAAGTAGATAATATATATGGCTTTGGGTTTTTTAGTATAATAAGATCCCCATGTACCCCAGATTCTATCTACTTAAGGGGACTATACTCTCAGAGAACTTCCAACCAGTCCCCCAAAGATTACATCTTCCTTCCTGGGGTATGGCATTTACAAGAATAGAACCTCACTAGGTTCTGCCACCAAAAACCCCTAAACCACCAAAAAGAACACTGCTCACTCAGGTTTTGTCACTCGCCACCGAGCTCCCGAAGCCAGATTCCCACTTGAATTTGGACCAGCGCCCTGGTGACATAGGGGCTGTATATGGGGTATGTAGGGTTATAGTGTTTCACAAAATTAGGGGTACTGTTTGGGGGTCCCCAAAATACAAGATTATTTCTAGTATTTTGAGGTCTACATTCGGGTCCCCCTATTTGCCGACCCCTTGGCCAAAACAAGGATCCAGCATCCAGAGGTAGCCATGCATGTCGTCCTTCCCATGGAATATTAGGGAGTGGGGAGGAGTCCATTCTTGGGTGGAGGGGCCAGATCGCTGGGGAGGGTCACTGCAGACATCTCGCAAGAAAGCCTTCTGCCGAAGCAATTTGATTTCCAGCCAACTTGCACAGAAAGCTCCTGACCTGGATGCTAAAGGAGTATCCACTGCAAGTTCATTATCCAAGTCAACTCAATACCATTCTACGTAATCTATGCAAATGCGTGTTTTTCCATGTTGTTGCGCCTTGCACTTCAAGAGATCGGTTACAATTCAATGGGCGTTTCCAAAATTGGGATCCGCCACCAATTGTCCGCAAGTATACCCATCTATACATATATCCCCTATCATTGAGCTGCAAAGACGTGACTCCTACGTTTCGGAAACCCTAAACCTCAAACCCTAATCCCTTTTCACTTGCCAAGGCGTCTCCAGGACCAGGTTCAGCAGCATCTGCAGCTGCAGTTGCAACAGCAGCAAGAGATACAAAGACAACTGCGGACGTATCCTGGCAAGGGTTCAGGGTTTAGGGTGCAAGATTTTAGATGTTCTGGACACGCGGGTGTTCCGCGATGTGAACCTAAAACATTCTGAATAGAGGGACCTTCAGTATCCTCTTGCAATCCTCGCATGCTTTCAGTGGGCACACATCGTTTGAGATTATAACCATAATTCAAAAAATCCTAAAACCCCAAAAGGCCAAACCCTATCACCTTAAACCCTGAACCTTGGGACCTAAAACCCTAAACCCTGAGTCTTTATGGGCATGGCCTTTCTGCCAAGGCAGCTTTCCAACCAAGTCCCTAAGGAGAAGCGGACCAATGCCTCTCATACGCACTGCAGAAGATCAGGGTTAAGGCTCTCAGGTTTAGGGTATGGGATGTAGGCTTTAGGGTTTGGGGTTTAGGGCTTTAGGGTTTAGAGTTAAGGGTTTGGGCTTCAGAGTTTAGGGTTTAGGGTGGATACGTGCACGTACTTACAGTAGGTAATTATCTATTATGAGGGAGTTATGGGGATCCTCATAGTATGCTATTCATCTGCCATGAGCATTAAAGCGCAGGACCAAGAAGAGCACTCCAAGCGGACTCTTAGACTCTTACATGTACTATAGTCTAAACTCCTTAAGGGGGGTTATATGGGGGAAAAAAACGGACTACTATAGGGGATATTAAGGGGGCTTCTAGGAGTTTAGACAGTAGCTCGCATAACTATATCTGAAGACCATTCCGAGAGAATTCATAGAAATTCCAGGACCTCTACAACAGTATTCGAAACGAGCATTCCATGTCCAGTCCAAGAGCGCTTCAAACCCGAGGAACTCAGGCCAAAATGCGAGGACGATCCGCCCAATAGTGCTGTTTGAAGCTACCGCAATTACGACAGTTCTGTACTTCGGCTCCGCACGCCCGTGACTGTGGTGGGAGCACGATCCTGGCCTGATGCTCCACGCGGGACGACCCAGGAAACTTGTTCCGCGCGATATTGGCTGCAGGGAACTAAGCCGCGCGGCGACCTAAATCAATCGCTCCAGGTGCTCAACGTGATTACACAGGGCTAGAATGTGAGAATCGTTCTAGTAAGCCCTCCCCGGAGTCCCGGGCATTCCCGGGCGGACCGTAGTAGTAGTAGTAGTAGTAGTAGTAGCAGTAGCAGCAGCAGCAGTAGGAGTAGCAGGAGTAGTAGGAGGAGTAGTAGTAGTAGTAGTAGGAGGAGTAGTAGTAGTAGTAACTAGTAGTAACTAGTAGTAACTAGTAGTAACTAGTAGTAACTACTAGTAGTAGTAGTAGTAGTAGCAGCAGTAGTAGTAGTAGTAATCTTAATGGCAAGTGGAGGGAGAAGAGTCAGAGTAGGAGAATGAGCAGGAGGGGATCTCAAAAATTGATCTCAACTGCAAGCCCTAATATTTACAGATTTTTGTGACGGTGGATTTTACTATTGCCACCCGTTTACAACAATCACCCCCTGAGTCCTAAACATACGGATAGGCTATGTCAAGAAAACCCTAGGCTCGCAGTTAGAATAAGATTGCAAA